ATTATAAATTAGAGGGCATCTGGTGTTCCTCTTTTATAGCTAATGTTATAGATTACTTAAGTCTTAGTCATTTGCATCAATTAAGTTGAATTGGAATATTTTTTCCCTTCCTAGTTTAGTCCATCATCTTCAGCTGTCAACAAGCATATGCCAGTCAGCAGTGTAGCTGTCAAAGCTGACACCAACATCTATAGCTGTACTTTTCTGGTGTCTGTATCTGTCTTTCTCTGAGTATTTCTTCATGTTTGTCTTACTGCTAATAAAAAAAAAAAAAAAAAAAAAAAAAAACTTGCAAAGAATTAACTTTCTACTTTCCCTGTCCTTAGAAGCCATGGAAAAGTATTTCACTGTTGAATTTCCCTCTGTTTGTATCATGGTTTTAATTCTCTTGGGTTTCAGTAGTGTTTTCAGTGGCATCAAGAAGTCCTTGATTCACTGAGATTATAAAAAATAAAAAAATTAATATTTTTGTTTTCTTAGTATTTCAGTTAGCATTAGTTATAATATTTCTTACGAAAACTCTAAATGCATATTCATAGAAAAAAAAGCATCAGTGGAAAAAATAGTAAATTTATGAAACAAAGCCATGAGAATCTTATTGCTTAAAGCAGATCCAAGTGACTCTTCCAATGGAAATGGACAATGTTGACATTCGCAGTACAGTGTTTGCATCTACCTGTTCAGCAAAGCAAGCTGCCTCTTCCTGCTCAGAGACAGTACATTGATGTTTAGCTCGTGGAAGAGTTTTGAAGCTCAGTGAACATCCAGGAAGCACCTGGAACCCTGAAAGCTTCTCTTAGAGCAGGTGCTAGTGGGGAGCCAGAGGGGAATCTGATGTGAGGATTTGTCCCAGGAGCAAAAGCTACCGAAGCGAGTTGTGCCCACGTGAGCCTTGGCCCTAGGAGTTATCTTCTTGTCCACCAGGGACATACACTGCTAATATAAAATTTTCTTGATTACCAGTTAGTGTAGAAAAGGTTGGAATCATGCTTAAAAGAACAGGTATTTGTGTGAAACTTGGACTAAGAATCCAGTGGCAAACTGTGCACAGGGCGGCAGCACGCTGTGCGCAGGGTTAACTGTAGCTTTCTTTTCATAGTTCTGTTTTTTCTAGTCTATCCTGAATCTTCTTTCCTTATGGTATAATTTTGTCACTTTTTGTGCTTTTTCCTATCAAACTATCCTTTTCCACTTCTGCCATCTCCTTTTCAACAATGGAGAATTTCATAATTTTGAATGTTCTTTTGCTGTCTTCAGTTATGTAAAATAAAGACACTCCTCTTCCCCATCTCCTTCAGTTTTTCCTCTTAAGTTTTTTTCAATGTCTGATTATTTCTATTGCTCTAATCTGGGCTGCCAGTGTCAAGTTGTTCTATAATGTCCAAATGAGAATTCAGCTGCAGGCTTGCATGGCCAACTAGGTTAACTTCATTTCTTTTATACATTGCATTTCTGTTTATATAGAGAGATAGGACAGTAATGCTTAACTGATAGTATACTATAGTCTGCTTAGTTCTTTCTGCATTTCAGATTCTGACCAAGAAAAGAATACAAGGTTGTTAAATAGGAAAAAATCCTCATTCCAGGCAGCCCCTATCCACTGTGGTAGCCTCTCCTTTATGGAAGGTGCCGAATATATCTGCTTTGCATTCGCATGGCTCAGGTGCTGCTGCACTGGGTATCTGGTCCAGAATCCTCCTCGGAGCTTCAGGGCTGCTGCGGGTGCTCCTGGATTTCCATCAGTGCCCTGCACAAACATTGCCCGAGTCCTGGGGCAGGTCAGGATTCTCACAAGAGAGTGCAAGGTGCGAGTGACTCAGTGGCATCTTGGATTCCCAGCAGGAAAACTGTGAAGTGCTCTTCGAAAGGGCATCAAACCTGCATCTCCGACAGGTATTTTTAGGTCTGTCTTGAAGCCGATCCAACTTCCAAACGTTTCAGCTTCTTTGTCTGGAGCCGCTACAACTCCAGACGTATCATTGAAATGGAGTATAATTGTGGTCTTGTCCCTTCTCAATCCACCCACCAATCTCAACGGTTTTAAAGCAGACTCCTGCTGTGCTACAAGGAGCATTTAGAGCGTTTTCTTCTTCTTCTTCTTTTAACAAGACATATTGATCAAAATGGAAATGCATAGGAACAACCTGAATATAAAGACTGTCTTGGAGGGAGAAGAAGTGCAAATGCCTTGTGAAACTTCTATTTTAGAACAATGTAGTTTATTATAGGGGAATACTTCAAGCTATGACTTTCATTGGAGGAATGTGGCTTACACTGCTTACCATTCTGGCACACTGAGTTTTCAGTCAGTATTTTTTTGTCATTATATGGCAAATAGCAAGAGTTTATAAGTCTAATTAATATAAGAAGAGAGGTCAACTCTGTGCCGCTGTACAGGCGAGTGACTTGTAACACGTAGGAGAAAAAGTTGAGCAAGAAATTCATAAATGTTCAAACACAAACTTACGAAAAAGGACAAGACAGAGGTGGAGCAAAGCTCCTTTCACTGCTCCATTTAGGTCAGAATTGTGCCAGCACTAGGACTTTTACTCACAGAAATAGCCCCTTTGAACTTGGTAAGGCTGGTAATTGAAGTTGTGTTTACGGGCTGCGTAGAGCTTCACTAGCCAGCTGCTGTTTATCTGGTGCAATTCATTTTTTTCTTTCAGCAACTGGTGGATGCTTTATAGACAGTTGAATAAAATGAGAAATACATATGCAGAAAGAAAGGATTAATGAGGAGTTTGAAAAGTCTAGAAAGAAGACTAAGATAGGAAGACTATTGCTTTATTTTTATTTCTAATACGCAACCCAAACGATGAAATCAGACTGGAAAGATTTTCAACTGGTGTTGTGTTTTCACCTATAAATTATAACTTCTAATTGTCTGTAGCTGTTGAAAGATGTGGCGCTGGCTGGCTCCTTGCGTCTAATCAATGAATAACATGCAAATACCACCAAGTCTGTCTTTCATCATGCAAGTGAGAAATCTGTATGGTCACTCTCATACATCTTACCAAAGAAAGCAGCTGGAATAAGATTCGTGCTTTGGCAAACTAAGTGGGTTTTTTTCCCCTTAAGTTTTGGAATAGAGTTGGTGGAATTGTTGGCTTTTTGCAATACAAGTTTTTATGACTTCACTATATAAAAGAGGAGATAAAGGGGAAAAAATGCAAAATAGTATATCAATAGCAGATAACCTTATAGTATATTCTACAGTTACAGGAAACATTTCAGACTAGTAGAGAAACCCTTTCCATCCAGTTAAATTAATAGTTGAATAAAGCAGCATTTCAAGTCAGAAAAAATATTAACTGGAAGTTACTGCATTTAATACAGAAACTGAAAGAATGATGAATATGGTTAAAGTTTTTAAAAGAATTTGCGATATAGAAGTTATTTTTGTAATTTATGTATTTGTTCAGATGTATGCATAAATTGGAATTAATTTGCTATAGCAAAGTTTCTTCTCAGTATCCCGTAGAAATGAGATCATCCAATAACAATAGAAAGAAAAGACACACTTATGTTGTTAGAATTTTCTGCTTTCAATGAACAACTGAGTTATTTAGCTTACCTGGCACAAGTGAAGAAACTACTTGTTTGGAGATACAGTCATGTCTACTTGCTCCCAGCGTGAATGGCCTCCAGGCCAGAACCCTGATCTACTCTGTGGTAGTTTTGTTCCAGGAATTCAGTGGGGTTTAATTAGGCCATGATTTTTCGTTTGCCTCTGTGCTTCCCTTTGTCAGCAGCTAGTGCTTTGTAGAACCCACCAGCTTGGGTTTTCTTAAGATTTTCCAAATCCAAACAGGAAGGAGAGTCTATGGGTTAGGTCTTCCAAGGCACGGACAGTTCAGCTAGCACCAAGGTTCAGCTTCAGTCGGAGCTTACCCAGTCCATTTCATGGATCCAAGAAGCTTGGTCACCTCAGCTTGGTCTGCAGCAACTTGAGCAGTTTAGTTCCTACCTCCACCAGAATGTTGGTGTTATGGGTAGTTCCTTGCAGTGGAGTTGTATTTAAGATGCAACATGTCAACGTATCATGTTAGATCAGTCAGAACCTGTTTCCTTATCCGCTGTTTGTTTGTCACTAAAATACCTTTACAAGTTGTTCTGGGCAGGAATTATTTCTTTGTATGGATTTATATGAGGTTAGAGGTGGCGGACACTGTAATAATACAAATATAAACAAAAATTTGAGAGTGTTATGCTCTTACATGAATTTTGATGATTTTAAAACAATAATTCTAGGGGAATATATTCAGTTTACTCTGCTAATACATTAGAGATTGCAAGCAGTTTAGACTGGGGAAATACACGTTCTGTTCTCCTTTGTATGGAATTCAATCAAATGCAAAATGGACATATTCATGAAATGTCAATGAAATTAAATCCAGATAGGTTTGTGTAAGGCATTAGATTTAATGATCACTATACAGTATAATTAAGAGATGATGTTACTGGAATATCAGATTTTCTGTATGCATGTTTATTTGGAGTTTTAATTGAAAATAAACAAAATCAGAAGTGTTTAAAAAAAAAAAAGAAAAAGTAGAAAAGATGTGTGAAATGTAATGATAATGGTTGACTTCTAAACAGCCAAGGAAATTATAGTCATCTTATGTGTGGGACAGGAACAAACACCTCTTAATTGCACTTCATTATTACGTACCTTTCTCTTCTCAGTTGTATATATTAATTATAAAAATCATGTTTCAGAGACGAGAAGCTGTACAATAGGCTTTTTTCCTCCCTCCCTTACGCTGTCTGCCACAGGATGGAAGAACAATATCAACTGTCATCCACAGAAAGAGCTTAAGAGCTTTCAAAGACAAATCATAAAAAGAATGAAAGGCTATTATAAAAAAAAAGGAGGAAAATGCTTTGATTTCATAGATTTGCTACTTATTAATGTTTAAGGTTCTCTCTTCTCTTTAGAAGTATCTTCTCATATTGTTTTGTATGTGTTATGTGCAGCTACATCACTTTTTGATGACTATATCACATGACATGTGGATTACGTAGCTAATTATTAACGGATGGAGGTTGAGAGGATAAGATATAAGAAAAGATACTACAGCAGCCCTGCAGGACTCGTATCACTTCTTCAGGTAAGTTGTGGAAAACATGAACACGAATCTCCTGACACAAAAGGACACTGTCATATGAGTTTTTGGGTTTTTTTTCTTTTTTTTCTCATTCATTAGTTTATGTAGAGGAATATTTAAAAATCCTTGAAAATAAGGACATGTTTCTCTGTCCTATTTTGTGCTTATCTGGGGAAGAATAATCTTTATGGCTGCAGGTCTCTCTCATAATTTGGATTTTTAGGTGTTGAGTCCTGCACTGTTAGTCTTGGTGTTTCCTCACAGTTCACGTTCTAGAGAGGGCTGGATGTTCCATATGATACTTGCTATTCTAGTATGTATACCAGAAGCTAGGGAGACATTATTTAGGACATTATACTAGCCTTTAGCTTCTTCTTGGAGGTTCTGTAGTTTCTTAGACCTTCTGTCATTTCATGCTCAGTCCCACTATGTTTTCCTGAAGCAGGAGTCCTTGGTGCTCGGTCTCTCTGTGCGTCCTAGGGCTCAGTGCTTCATCTTGCTCAAGCTTTAAGGCAACTCACTCAGCCTCTGCGCGTCTCAAAAACATGATGTCCCTGTCATGCATCATCTGTGGCCTCCCACTAGCAGGATAGACACCTCAGTGTATATATATCATTCTTGGAAAAAAGAAAGCAATGATCTGTTTCAGGAGTAACGATGACTGTCAGTGATTCTCTGAGAGAGGTGCAGGGGCTTTGATGATGCTATAGACTTCTCTGTATCTGTTTTCCAAGCTTTTAAACCATGCCTCCTTCAGACAAGAAAGGAAGGGGAAAATCCCCCTATCTAAATGGCACATTTGCTACATCAGCAGATGTAATCCTGCAAGTTAGATGCAGGCTTCTAACAGCTGATTTCTCTGTTCGTACATTCAGATTTAAGCTGCTGCTGCTGCTATTTCAAGTAGATGAGATAACCTTTACTAGACCTTATATTTGCTCTGGTGAGAAAAATCTTTCATGTCCAAGAGCTTGAGGTTTGTTACCTTGAAGTAGTAGGGATATAAAAAAATACATGAAGGAGAGAGGTACAAGGATCTAGGTTGGTACCACAAAATACTAGTTTAATACTTGACATATTGATGGCGTTTCACAGTTCTTAGTGAAGACAATGAAAGCTGTCAAAGGTCTGACCTCATTTTCTCTCACATGGACAGCACAGCTTACATACAATTTTAATGGATTGGTCAAATTATTCAAAAGAAAATAAATGGAATAGAAAAGGAATGAGGAGTGGTCTACAGAAACTATTCTGAATTGCAGGTAGGATCTAGAGTGGCCTGCAGATAACCTTGAGATCTAAGGGTACCAAGTATGTTATGATTGAATTGCTGTGTCACATTATGTGCAATTCCCGAAAAGGAACATAGGTTCCTCTGGATGCATTTCCTTCATTCTCTCTATTTTAAACTTTGTTCTATATTATATGTCAGCGGAATTCAATGGCATAGTGTGGTCAAGAGAATTTCTCAGCACAGTACCGATCTTCAGCATTCCTCTTTATTTTAATATCATTTATAGAGGAATTTAACCTCTAACATGTATAAAGCAATCTAACTTCATGGAGAATAATCACATGATACATTCTTAGTGAGGAAATATTAACTTTAAGAGAGAAAAAACTCAGAATAGTGATTAGCCCATCCATAAAAACACTGCTAAGTAAACTATGAGAAACATCTTCTCACAATTAAAAATATAATGAAGGTAATATTAAATAAAATGCTCAGACAATCTTATGTTTTTATAATGTAGCAGATGCATCTTTGATCTAATAATGTGTTGTTCGTGTTTATGTTTTGTCATGATTGATGAATGATTCACTTTCAAGACTATTTAACTTGGTTCGTGTCTCACTGAGTATTTAAAAAAAAAAAAATCATTAGAGCCTAAAATAAAACAGCTTTACACAGTACAAAGTATTAAAAATTTAACACAATGCACCTGCAGCAATAACTTGGGGTACTGAAGCAGCTAGGACATGGGAAAGTTTCAATTATGGCACAAGTGTTACCCAAGCTCAGATCATTGAGGAAAACTTCAGGTATAAATTGTGTTTTCTCCCTTTCATTTTCTGTGATGTTTTATTTATAAATGTAAATTTATGCAGCTGAACTCAAAATGTGAGCATGTGGAGTTTATATTTATTTTCAAGACTTATATTTATTTATGAAGCAAAAATTAATACATTCATAAATACAAAGGTCTGGAAATACGACTAAGTTGCTTTTGTTAAATATGCAAAATTGTGCATGTTCAGAATTTTATATTTTGTAAGGGGATTAGCCACTTCTATGACACTTAATGTAAATATTATTAGGAAATAGGTCTGAGAAAAGGTAAGAATTAAGACAAAATGCTAAGGAAAATATCTGTGCAAAATACCAGAGAACAAAAAGATTTGACTTTTTTTGTATATATGTATTAATCTTAACAGTTTTTTTAATCTTATCATAAAGTAAGGATTACTTTGAATAATGCCATTGTTGGGTCTGTGTGTGTGTGGGGGGGGGTATATTTATGCTATTTAAAAAACATCCTTCTTGATATAAAAGGAAATCCTACGTTTTCCAATAACCTTGAGACCTGCATTCCTCTATGTTTTTATTTTTAAAAATGACATTTAGTCTGAAGATTATCTGAAGTGATCAATAAAAAATAGGTAATCTGATAATTTAGGCGTTCGCTGTGTGAAAAGCTAACAAGCACCTTGGCAAAATAATTTTCTTACAGTGATACAAACTAGATGGTTGTTCTGGCTGCAGGTTTTTTTTAGTGATATAGCATTTCTTGTCCAGGAATAGTCAAGTGGCAAACTTCATCTCTGGGTAAAGAAATACATATCTGTCCTTAATTCTTCAGAAAGGAAGGAAAGTAGATTTTGCATCGTGTTTTGGTCTATGGTGCGTTTCATTTCCTCCAAGCAATGCATCAGTAGTATTGGAGTGACAGAATGAACCATTTGAAAACACCAGACAGATTGGGACTGTGTCAGACGACTTGTAGTTTATATGGTAGTTCAAAATTTGTCTCTCTAGAGGAATGTATTCTTGCTTTTCTGTTGGAAAAAAATGCTTTTTTTTTTTTTTTTTTTTTTTTTTTTTTTTTTTTTTTTTTTTTTTTTTTTTTTTTTTTTTTTTTTTTTTTTGCCATTTACTCTTCAGATATTTTAAGTCAGTTCCTTATCTTAGGTGAAGTCCTACCATCAGAGGATAATAGAATTAAAGTTGATTCCGGCAGTGTAACATATTACAGCAACCTGAGACTAACAGAATTTTTTGGTTGATTTATTTTCCTGAGAAATTTGCTTGATTCTTTCATGTATAACTTGGCATTGCAGGAGTTTAATTGAGCACTTTTAATTTTTTTTTTCCATTCTCTGCTTCAGTGAGTTCGTTGCTGTTCATATAGAAACTTAGAGTTTACTTAGCTTTGGCATTTCAGGGCTGTGCGCGGCACGTAGAATTCAGGCTGCTTCACCTTGGTCCTGGCATTGCAGAGTTCAGTGACTTGTGGCTGTTTGTGTCACCACTTGAAAAATGATATAGCTCTGAGAATTTAGATTGACCTTTAGCCCCTGGTTTGCTTAATTTTATGATTTTGTGTTTTTCTGTTTTTTTTTAAATTATTCATACTTTGCTTATTAATCTGTTACTGAATGTTGTCCTCTAGATTCATATTGCTGATGATATTTGAAAAAAGAGCAAGCTACCTTCTTTTCCTTAAATCTGTGGAAAGAATTTAACTAAGTGCTTGATGCAAGTTTTGTCACTTTCTCATTTTCTAATACCTTTCTGGAAACATTTCAACAGTAGGCACAATTAGCATAGCACAGGGGTAGTACCTGCACACACAGAAGCACTGAATATCCTGCCTGAACACAGCCTTAAATGGCATTTTGTTCTCATTATCTGGCAGTAATGCATCAAGCAGAAAGTTATGTACCTTCAGCTAAAAATTACAATCCCGTGTAAACTATAGTCGATCACTTTCTGAACTAATTATGTAATTCCCCATATAAAGTAGGATGAAAATATCCTATATCTCAAGGAACTGGTAGGGAAAGGAACCTCAAGCTGATGTCTGATCCGTTCTACCTCCATGCCATCTCTTCCTGCATTCTCCAGTGAGCGCACTAAAAACATGTTCACCTTCATATCCTATCACAAATTTTAGTCAAATTGAAGAAAATTTACTTGTTCACTTTACAATTACTTAAGTCAGAAATTTTCATCAAATTCGAGGCTATCAAGAATCCATTTTAAAATATAAAGGGAATAGGATGAAGAAAGGAGAAAGTGTAAACAGAATATCAACACCCATAAGTGGCATCTTTAAAAGAAAAGATTGCTAGTAAGTTCCACGATTGTACAAAAGAACAAGAAACAAAAATACCAGCATTTATCTTCCTCCTCTCATTCCCATGATGAGGTAAGCAGTCCCTCTTTCACACTTGCAGAATATTTAAGAACATTTCACTTTGAAACCTGTTGAAGCCAAAGCTGCTTCTGAGTTTATGAGAAGCAGATATGTAGTACCCAGCGAGAAGTATACTTAAAGCTAATATATACTAGTACATACCAGGTCAAAATCCTTAGTGTTATAAAACATAAGTGGTAGTTTATATTTCTTTAACATAATAAGAAAATTATCCCCAAAATGGGGATAACTGTGAGAAAAATCTGACTCGCACAGAAGTAGTTCTTTCCAATGCAAGTCTGAAAATTGCATTAGCCCTCGAACATGGAACTAAACAGAATCTGTCTAACAAATAATGTCTGGTTTATATCAACTTATACTAGATTGGCAAATGCATGCATGAAAAGCTAAAGAATAGAGCACAAAATTAAGATGTTTGCATCTTATTGTGATTTTATACCCTGTACTGAACAGGATCAAATTAATTTCCATCTATTTACATATCTGGTAACCATTTGTTTTGTTTGTTCAATGCAAATGCAGCATAACTGCACTAGAACTAGTCCACCAAACTTGAGCTGGATA